GTATATACCATGATGCCGATTGTTTTACACAGACACAGACACAGACACAGACACAGGCACAGACACAGACACGTACCTTTCTGCCTGGCTGGATGGAAGCTCTCGGTCACACGGAAGGCCACCACTTCATGCTCACTCGATGATCCGCTCACACGTGTGCTTTGGGTGCCCTGTGTTGTGTGTGTGCTGTGTTGTGTATGGTGCGTGACGCTGATGGTGTTGTTGTGCTGTTGAGCGCTCGCGACCTCTCCATCTAAGTCCCTGGTCTAAAACAGAACGGTGGTGTTTATATATGGAAGAGAATGTTGACAATTTGTACTACATATAGATGAGAGCATTGGTAATATATATAATATAGATCAGAGTAGTGACAATCAATATACAAATGAGACTATTGGTAATCTATATACAAATGAGAGTATTGGGAATCTATATACAAATGAGAGTATTGGGAATCTATCTACCAATGAGAGTATTGGGAATCTCATACAAATGAGAGTATTGGGAATCTATATACAAATGAGAGTATTGGGAATCTATATACAAATGAGAGTATTGGGAATCTATATACAAATGAGAGTATTGGAAATCTATATACAAATGAGAGTATTGGGAATCTATATACAAATGAGAGTATTGGGAATCTATATACAAATGAGAGTATTGGGAGATGAGAACAGAGGACCACAAGAAGTTAATGTGTAGTGTTTCAGAGGGCCCGAATGATGCCATATCGTCGGTATGCGAAGAGCACCGTTAGAAAATTACGAAAGCAAAAGCTGATAAAGTACATCCACAGATTAAACACACGTGATATACATCACAGTAGAAAGCGCATCGAGCACATATGCTGTACACACAAGTAGAAAACTCATTCAATACATGTGTATGTACATATGTAATCGGTTCAAAATCCTCCCATATTTGGGTATAACTTTGCCGCCAAAAGTTTGCGTACATACCATAGTCCGCCCGGACAGAGCACAGGGCTTCAGTGCAGTGCAGTGGGTGGACCCATTGACCAGCTTACAGCACAGGCGAATGCGAGACATGAAGAGGTTCGGTACATTGTATAGCACTCCGTGCACATGCACAGGCGTTGGCATGGCAACAGCGGACTCCGCTGCCGAGAGCTGTGGTGTGGTGAGCGGGTGATACGGCGTCGCTGTTACGATATTGTAGGAGTTGTCCACAGTGTGATCGTAGAGTGTGGTGGTAGTTCTACGAATGTTATGGTATCCGAACGATATGTTACCATAGCAATGATGGAGATACATATACAGACAAAGACATAGACACAGGCACAGGCACATACATAGACACCGACACAGACACTGACACAGAAACAGGCACATACACAGACACAGAAACAGGCACAGACACAGACTCAGAAACAGAAACAGACACAGACTCAGACTCAGACTCAGACTCAGACTCAGACTCAGAAACAGACTCAGACTCAGACATAGACACAGACACTGACACAGACACAGACACAGACACAGACACAGACACAGACTCAGACACAGACATAGACTCAGACTCAGAACCAGACTCAGACTCAGACATAGACACAGACACAGACACAGACTCAGACTCAGACTCAGACTCAGACTCAGACATAGACCATA